AGCATATTATTCAAGTTGATTGGATCCATTTTCTTGATTCCTCCTTAAAGATCTTTCTACTAATTAGTCAGGGTTGCTATTGAATTATTTAATTATCTGCACTTTTGTGCAATGAAATATGTTGTCATATCACATACTTTATCATGCTGTTGCTGTTCACACTTAATGATGCTTCTATAGTTAGCAGTTTCCTTTGTTCTGCTCCGTAAGTGCTTTTAGAAAGAGGGTGGGCTGGAAAGGAGGAGCCTTGAGGTTTGTGAAATAAAATCATATTTTCCTGATGCACATGCAAAACTTTATGCATTTATGTGAATTTCATTTTAGAAATTAAGTTGCAATTCTGTTTGGAATAAGCTATAAGGAGCATGTCGATGACTTTGAATGCAGCCACAACTATATGACTCTACCTTGACGTCTCTCTGGTGCATACCCACTGCAGTGCAATGGTAAAAGGACGATTTAATTTTTTTAAATCAGCAAGGAATGTCTTTAACAAGGAAGAAGTAAATTATGATAATTACTCTGAATGGTTGGATCCTTGAGCATTACTAATTAGCATTTATTGCCTGGATTATAGAACAATACATGTGAAACCGAACTGCGATTGCTCTTTTACGTTGAAGACTTGAAAAGGCAATGGAGCAAAAAGGCAGCGACATCACTAGTTTAGTCAGTGGTTTACATCTCCTTGGTAGTATGCAGAATTCCTCACTTTGAGAACACAAATATAGTCCATGATATTTTTAGCCCATTCATTTGTTTTGTATTAGGCACATATTTATATATGATATCATAGTTACGGTGGACTAATGAGAGGTGAAACATTTTGGTTATAATAGCATTTGGGGATAATTTTATCAGTTGCAAGACCTTAAAAGAAAAGGGCCTAAAACTCACTCTTTCATAAAAATAAGAAATTCTCCGGCAGAAGTTTGGATTAAAAATGAAACAAAGAACTCAGTTAACAGTGAATAAAATTTTACATTCATTTCTCCATTTTTTTTTTTTTCCTGGAGGGATTATTGTTGCAAATAAGTGAGAAAAGGCAATTGGTTTCTGGCTTGTGAGTATTTTTCACTAGGAATTTGCAATAAAATATATTCTGAAATTAGAAAAAATTGATGTTAATCAACAGGCCGATACAAGTCACAAAAATAAATGCCACTTGTATAATTTGGCAACTGAAATTCTTAAATAACCCGGCAGGTAGGAGGAGAGAAAAAGGAAAAATGAACCATTCATCATTCTCCCTGCAGTCTGTTTTCCTCCACACCCCATCATCCTGGATGAAGAGAAAAGGACATCGTAAAATATAAAGCCAGTACTAAATACAGTTGCGAGTCTTCCCAATACTTTCCATGGCTTCTCTACCCTGATCCTTTTTAGTCTGAAAGAATAAGTTTGACTAAATCTGTGAGGAGATTAAGCAGGCTGGTGATAAAAATTAATTCTGCTGAATGAGCAAATGCATTTGGGTTGCAGAGATGCAAATAAGATAATACTTTTCTTTTCCTTTGACATACCAGGCAGATTAGTCTAGAATGTTAAATTTGATTGTATTAGAATATATTAGCAGTGTTTTAATTAATACCAATCAAACATTTTCTTTCCCTGGGGCTTGATGTGTTCTTATCCTTTCTAAATCATCTGTATTTTTCCCCAGTAAAAACAAAGAAAAAAAAAAACCTTATCAAATCACCAAAACCTTTTGTTACAGTCTTCGTAATTTTACTGTATTCAATAGAAAAGCAAGTATAAGCTCTTTACCTAAAGATGTCTTGCCCACAAAATTTGTTTCCAGGTGCTATATTTAAAATGTGTACTGTTCATCGGTATGCTTCATTAAAAAAAAAGAGTAAAAAAATTGGAGGCTTAAAAATAGGCTTCTTTTGTATTTTTCATTTTGGGGGAAAATGTTGCAAAAGGGAATTTGGCTGGTTCATCTTACTTGGCCTTATTCTCTCTGGAGCTTCCTAGAGCTGGTAAATTTTCAACTGTATTGGTTTTAAGCTTGCATTTCTTTGGAAAGAGAGGCCCAAAAAAAAAAAAAAAAAGAGATTTTTTTTTTCTTTTAAAAAAGAGGTGGTGGTTGGGGGGGGGGACCTAGTTAAAAATCCGGTGAGCCAGTGCACCCTGTGAACTGAATTGTAACTGTTCCAAGGAGGTGCTGCGCTGCATTCCACTCATTAGCCTTCCTTTTCTCTCAAGCTTCCTGTCCTTCTGTGTCCAGAGGCTCCAGTTCACTCAGTTCTCTTTTCTTCCCCCAAATCACCCCCACCCCAATTCCCCGCCTTATTTTTTTTTATCTGCCAAGCTGGATTTGCACTTTTAAAGATCAGTATCAATAATGCCCTGCTTGTTTCGGTTGCACTCTCCCTTTAAAAGACAGCCCCCTCTAATTGATGCGTCTGGGCTAGTCTAGACTGGTAGTGATTGAACCAACCACCAATTATGTTATTCATTTCACTGAACTTCACTGATGGGCTTAGGGAGGAAGAAGGGGTGTTGAGAAACCTGCCCTTGCAGAGAAGCAGTTGCCTGCTGAAATATACAATCTGTGTGTTGTGTGCACTCCTAAATGCTTGGGTGATCAATTGTACGATAGCAGCCTAGGAACAGAAGCAGTCCACTTGAAAACATGTAAAAAGCCCAGAGTCCTTTGGAATGCAAACGGAAACACTTGTATTAAATTACTATTCTGTTACCATTTGAAATCACAGAATTATATAGTACATGTTTTTATTGATCCATGCACATGATTTCACAGGATAAACTGCAGATACATTTTGACTTTTAAAAGGACCAAATGTTTTGCAAATATTTCATATGAATCATGTGGCAATATATAGCCATAAATTAAATAGATTCCTGGCCTTAATTTCCAAATACCTATGCATGCACATCAGCTAAGATAGGGGTGTCATTAATCTATTTTAGATAAAGTAAAGATGACTCAAATATTGAATTTAGTTTTCTTTGAAGCATGTTCTCACTATCAAATACTAGAAAGTTATATTTAAAAATTACAGCAACACATGGGGTTTTAACAAAAGACAGTGCAATTGTTGTACAATTCTTCTTAATTCAGTTTTCTAATTCAAAATTCCTTTTCTCTCAAGCTTCCTGCAATTTGGAGCCAATGACTAAAACTGCAATAAAAATTTAAAAAAAAAAAACAAGAAAAGAACAGTTTACTTAACCTTCAAATATATATATATATATATATATGAAGTTACAACTAATATTAGGTCTTTAAAAAAAGAAAACATTTGAAATCAGGGTTGATTGAAGTATTTTCCAAAAACAAAACAAAACAAAAAGTTAGAGAAAGGTGAGGCTGAGAAAAATAAAATTATTTAAACAAAATTGAATACTGGAATTTTTCACAACAAAGGAAAGGTAAGTTAGTGTTTCTCTTTGCCAACTACAAAACAGACCTAAATCACTGAAATTATTCTGTTAGAAAAAGTTACAGCTCCAGAAAATGACAAACTAGGTAATGCTAACAATTACCTTAAAGAGAAGATAATTTTGTGTTTGATGTTATAAATAACTTGGCGTTTGGTGTTATGAATAACTTTGTTGGATCGAATTTAAATCACGATAAAAATTTTCAATGAAGAGTAAGAAGTACTGATTACTCCTAGAGAATATGGTAATTATGTGTTTCTTTTATTTCACATATTCAGAAAATATATTTCCAATCCCTATCACTTTTAAATTCAATTATAACATTTTTCGAAAGGTACCACGCAAGGAGGCAATATCCTTCCTCTTACTTTATTTTTTAAAAACCTTGCAAGGTGATACAAATTTAATTTTAATTAATACCATAAATTTCATACTTCATGTGCAGAATAGCAAGACTAGAATTTTTAACCTATTAGTATTTTTGGCCCAAACTATTGGTTTATTCCACGTCAGTGTGACCACTATCTAGCCGTATAAGATATGCATGTGTGGGCACTGATATATAATATATCCTTATGCCTATTTTAACTGGGTACAATTTTGAGATTAACTGTTGAGTTTAAAAGTTGGAGGCATGGGGCATGCTGGGACTTCAGCTGAGATGTTCTGAGGTCAAGCACCAGGTACTGAGCTGTTCTTTTTACGCTCCGATAGTACTGCGTGTTGCTCTCAAGGAAAAGTTCCACAAGCCTCAGGCATCAATAATATACGGACACGTACACAGCAGCCAACGCGATTCTGACCCACTATATGCCTACTTTAACAAGAATTTAGGAGCTGCTGCTCTCTGGTCACCTGACCCCATCTAACAATGAAAACCTCAGAGGTGAACTCAGTCGCTTCAGACAAACTTTCTTTTCTTTTGTATTTGCTTAAAAGAAAAAAGTTCCACCAAATTTCCAGGATGTGAAGGCACGACTCGCAGCTCCCAAGAGCCTAACCCGTGGATTTAAACGGTAAACATCACAAGTTAGGGTCTCAGGGACTGAGAGGAGCGCAACCAATTTTTCTTTCTTGAGACAAAACAAAGCAAAACAAGAATGACAGGCAATTTCTGTTCCAGGGTCATGACAAAAATGCAACAAACAGGTGGTATGGTGTGTCCTCACTCTCTAAACTGCTTTCCTTCACAAAATAGAGATTCCATTTAAATATAATCTACACATCCACGCATACGCAATAGCTGGGGGTGCCTATTACATACCTGAATGTACAATTGTCAGTATACCAGAGAAAACTCTTTCAAGCTTTGGGCAAAACAGTTTACTAAAATGGAAAATGATATAAATAGAGCTAGGAATGCCCATGGTTTTAAAAACCATAATCGGAATCGGTGTTGAAATGTCTCTTCAAAGCTTTCATTTACAACTCGCACAAATGACTGAGAAGAAAACGTGAAGCCTCTCATTCCCCCAGGGCAAGCATGCCGCATGCAAAAATCACAGAAATCGGATTTTTGGGAGGCGAAGACCTGGAAGCAGGATTCGGAGACTATGAAAATATTCATGTGCAGAGCATTTTGAACTCACCCATTTGAAGCGGAGCGGGACTGCACGGCCTCCAGGAGCACCATTCCCAGCAAGGGGGAGAATGCGAGCTCGAAGAGCTAGGCTGGGCGAGGTGTTTCAATAGAGGACGGAAGAGGCGGGGGGGAAGCGATACACCAAATCTAGAGACTGTAACTCTGTAGTTTTTGCTTTGAAGAGAAGGGGGGAAACAGGCAGTTGGGTGGGAGTGGAGGAAGGGGCTGGGGATGATCAAATTTGGAAAATAGTCCGTTAAAACTTGTTTTTCTTTTTTAAAAGGAGGAGAGCAAGAAACCTCTCCAGTTCTGCTTTAAAAAAATTTTTTTTCCTTCTTTCTTTAGCATGCACCTTGCCAGTCCTGCAAACCGGGCCCTCCTCTGCACCAGCTGCTTGGCTACAGCGGAGGACAGAGCAGCAAGAGGAGCACCAAGCTGTCATTCCCCAGACGCCAAGAGGGAAGGGGTGGGTGCACGCTGGGGATACAGCCCCCACCTCCCGCTGCGGATGCTTGGGTCAATATTTCAGAGGAATACGGAGCATAATCCCCCTCCATCTTCGCAGAAGCTACTGGTTCTCTACCTGATAGAGAGTCCTGTTTCCTCATCTGACTGGAAACTCTGCTTTCCTATGCTGCCTCCAAAAAATGAAACGAAAGAGAAGTGCAAAGGAAGATGACTCTTTTTAAAAATTTTCTTCCTCTTTATTTTTTTTTTCTCCTTTATTTCATTCCAGGCCTGAGAAAGTAGATGGCTGACTAGTCAAAGAGAATGACAAAGCAGCCATAGTAAGGAAGACACTGGAGGGGGCCTCCTCCCGCACTTAGGGAAAAAAGTGAAATATTTTTAACATATTTCCATATGCAACTAGGAACAGTTAGAGCTCCAGGGTCTTCCAATTCCCCTCCCCCCTTTGAAAAATAGGATCATGCTACCAAGACAGCTAAATTATATCTTTTTCCCTCTCTATAGGGTCTGTTTAGCACCCCAACACACACACACACACACACACACACACACACACACACACACACACACACAAACTTTTTTCCTCACCTCTGTAGGTTCTTCTCATACACAATCCTTCGTTCAGTTTAGGGTCCTTCCTTTTTCTCTCCTTTCCCTCTTCCTTTTCCTCTCAGAGAAGCCAGTCCGTCATGATCATACCTAGTCTCTCTCTCTCTCCTGTCTCTCCCTCTCTGTCTCTCCCCCTCCTTTTCTTTTACTATTAAAAATAATAATAATACTGGCCCTTTCGACATAGCAGCATGAAGTGGCTGCCTTTGAGAAAGCACATTTAATCTTTACTGGCTCCCCTAGGCTTCAGTGAAGAAGGAGAAGGCAAGGGGAAAAAAAGAAGAGAGAGAGAAAAAGATTGTAAGGGAGGCTGCTGACGGACAGCAAGCATCAGGCACAAATCAGCGACAAGTTGAATTTTCCTAGACCACACTGCCCCCTTTCTTCTCCGCTCTCTCCCTAGGCTCCTGGAAAGCCCAAGTGTCTGGTTACAGGAGGTAAAGGGTCTCCCTTTGCCAACCGTGGTGCAGATTCCTTGCATGCCTGCTTAAATCTCTGGCAGAATAAGGAATCAATATCCCCCTCTAATCACCTTTAGCTCTTCTATGGCTTCCCCCCTTTTCTGAGAATCCACTTGGCTCTCAGAGCCGCTCCCCCGCCCTGCCATGCTCCTCCATACAAAGCTTGCAGCCCTGTCATTTCTCACTTCCTTCCATATCTTGGAGACAAGCCTCTTCTAATATTCTCATTCATATTCTCTCTCTCTCTCTCTCTCTCTCTCTCTCTCTCTCTCTCTCTCTCTCTCTCT